TTTTTTTTATAATAAAAAACCATAATAAATACATAGTAAATACTATTAATTAAAACAAATCAAATAGTAAAAAAAAAGTTATTATTAACTAATGAAATTCTAATATTAATAGAATTTCGGGATTTTTCATTTCGGGATTTTGTATTTCGGGATTATGACATTTCGGGATATTTCATTTTTCAAGATTATGACAAGTCAGGATTTTGACTATTCGGGATTTTGATGTTGTCGAGATTATGGTATTCGGGATTGTGACAATTCGGGATTTTGACGTTTCAGGATTTAGACTGTTGGGATTATGTGCCATCGGGATTTCGAGCTTCGGGATTTCGTACCAAACCCGCGATCTCGCTATATACTGTTAATGAAGACGCATTTCACTTAGGTTTATCATTCTTCTTTCTCAAGTGTTGTATATGTTTAATACGATATGTCATTTCGAATGTTGCAATACCTATGCACTTATTTTTTTTTGTTTATTCAGTGAATAATATTTAAGAAAGAACAGTAATAAATACTTATAATACTTACTCGCTTTTATTTTTATTGTTATTTTAAAGATGTGATTGCAAATCGTGAGGTCATATATTTCTTTTATATGGACATTGGTCATTTTGAGCTGTAATATATAATAAAAATGATGTCTGTCCTGTTCCATTTACAAAAACTGGTGTAATTTAAATCAATATCCAATTATTTTTGAAATATCTTCTTTTGTTTTGGAGTTTAAAGTTATTTTATCACTATTCATTAATTTCTTTACTTCATTAACATCAGCATAATAATAACTACAAAATATATAATTATAATTCAAAAAAAAAATACAAAATGTTTTCAAGAAAGAAAAGTATATAATTACATTATATCTGGAAACCATGATTTCCAAAGTCGTCTTTGATTCGGAAGAAAATAGAATAATTCAATTTCTTTAAGAATCTATAATAATTAACTGTTAATAGAGTATCTCAATATATCAAGCAGATTTACATTTTTACTAACCTCTGCTTTTTGTGCCATATAAGTTGCCCGATCATTATCTTCTTCAATTGCCATATTTAATAATCCAATCAACAAGTTCATGAGAAATATGACAATAATAAAGGAATATAGAAGCATTAAAGTAATCATTGTTTTATTTTCTTGCGGTGACCATTTATTAAATAAACTACCATCTCCTATATATTTTTTAAAGGCAGAATATTAATAAAATTTTAAAGGATTCAATAAATATAAGATTACATACCTGTTAGGAAAATACTCATTGCTAAAAGAGAATTAGAATAATTCGAAAATAAATTGGTATATTCATCGGGAATTTTATATATGGTCATATTATTGATAATATTCCCATCCCTATCAACTTGATAATATTTGTCAGTCAGATTCCAAGGATTGTTTGGATCAGCTAAATTTCCTAAAGTGGGTTCTAATAAAATCATAAATGCGTGTGCAAAGCTCAATGTAATAAGAAATAAAATAAAAAGAAATGAAGAAATTTTGCGAGCAACGCCAAGTATTATAGCAAAATAAACTCCAAATGGTTCAAATGCTCGGAAAAATAGTATAAATTTCATTTCAAGTATAAGACAAGAAATTGATACTAAGTCCTTATTATATTCTTTACTTTTGTACCAAAGTATTGATGTAACGGTAGGTAATAAATAAGCACCTAAGTCTAAATTTTAAATAATAATAAATTAAGAATAATACAATGAAGTGAGGTAAATTTATAATAATTAATACTAACCAATAAAATTCCAAAAATTTAGTAACCATCTATAAGGATTCCAGATAAATTGACGAAATTCAAATAAAAGATGAAAACAGCCAAAAAATATGGACCATTTTAAATAGTCATGTCTATCGTTATGACTTTCCTTTTCCCTTGAAGCTGATATAAAAGTAAAAAGAAAAATAGTATAAAATATCCAAATTGTCATATAATAATATTTTCCATATACTCCCCATTTAAAATTAATTAAAGCTTTTCCATTCCAAGTTTTATAAAGTTCATTATTTGATTTGACAAAAGGACTCGATTGAGGTATTAAAACATCAAAAAGAAGAATAGACCATTCAGGTAATTTTTTATAAGATAATTTAGAATGTGAATAAGTATATGAAGTATAATAAGGAAACGGAATTAAGAATGAAAGTGTCGGTTTTGTAGGTTTGCTTCGTTGAATAAGAATCATGTACATCTTTATCATTATTAGATAAATAAATAACTCCGTAAATTCCGTAAATGGAAAAAAAAAGAAATAAAATTTTTTCAAAAATTTGAAAATTAAGGTTATAAATAAAGGTAGTATTAAGTATTTCAGTATTGTTCCAAATTTTCTATATAAAATAAACATAATCATCAATGAACCAAAAAAATCTAATGTATATTCAAAATCTAGCGTTGCCAAATACGATAATAAAAGCGTAAATAAGTTATTTTTCCTCGGGAAATACATATTAAAAATAAAATATAAAATAATTATAGATACACGTGGAATTAGGGGATATATGAAAAAGTGTAAAAGATCTTTTTGATCAATCTCGTCTATGTATAATTTTTTAAGATGAATAATAATTATGTGAATTATGAGAAATATTAATGTGTATAACAATAATAAAAAATCTGAAGGGATTCTGAATAATAATGTTAAGATTCTTTTTTCATGACAATATATTTTCATACGATAATAAATAAAGATTATTATTATAAGTAGTGGGATATATAAAGTTAAGTCATTAATTAGTTTGGAAAATAAGTTATTTGTCAGATTATCATCAGTACCAATCCTAATTAAAGTTTTAGCTATTACTATGAAAATTGGAATTTTCCAAAACTTAATTTCTTCATAATGATAAGGTATATAAGGTCTTATGATTTCTAATTGTTTGCAGATAGAATGATGATGGTCAACTTTTATATAACTAATCTCTTGATTTAAAGGGTCTAATATTAAAGTCGTTTCATCATAATATTTTAAAACATATTCGTAATATTTGTCCTTTAAGTATAGAATATTATTGCCTGCTATTGATAATATGCAAAAGTTACTTTTCGGATTTTCTTTAAAATTTTCAATAGTTTTGTTAAAAATTGTGCTTATTAAATGAATATTATTTTGTTTGATCGCCGATTTTAATAATTTTTCTCCATATAATACAAAATAATATTTTGTATTTAATAAATTATTAATCAATGGCATTTTTGATTCCTCTTCTGACGGATCAGCAATGCATGTCATATCTAATTCGCATTTATCATAATATTTGAATATAACATCATGTAAAGTTTTTCTAATGGTTTCATCCTTTAAATACACCACATCATCATCATTCATTTTATCTTGGATTGAAATATATTTTTGATCTATATATATATTCCCCATATTATCATCAAATATAGATTTTCTCCAATCATGATTTGCTATATTATAAATATAAGGTTTGTCTGGTGATACTATAAAAATGCATTTATCCTTAAATTCAATATGAATACTTTTCTCGAGAACTTCAATTTCTACTAATTTATTGCAACTAATTGAACCTTTTAGATTTGATTTCCAAAAATAAATATTAATAGTTTTATTATATGATAATGTAATCATGAATTCATTATTATTGCCGGCGAATTCGAATTCCTGATAATCTAATATATAAAAATAAAATATTTGATAATTGTTAATTAGAAGTAAAAAAAGTTCATTTAAAGTAATTCATACATACTTAAATCACTTAAATCTTTAATATTTCCAATTGGAAAATTTATGTGGTCTATGTTATTGGAATAAACATAATACTTATCAACTACTTTCATAATAATAAACTTTTTTGAGAATTTGAATTTTACTTGTTCAATATTTAGATTCTTTTCCTGTATGATACAATTATCATATTAATATTATTTCAATATATATCAAACAAATTTTTACAATAACGAATCATATACGTACAAAAAGCGAAAGCTTCTGAAGTTGGAAAGTAGTTAAATCTAATAGAAAAATTAAACCATATGACATCATCCAAATCCTATCGCTTTTAAAACCTCCAAATCTTATATCTTTTTCATTAAAAAGATAAAAAGCCTTGCGAGCCAAATTTTTTTTTTTTGTATATTCATAAATCAAAACTGCAGGATTTATTAAAGCGCTGCTATTGCTCTGAAATGTTACTATATTACCGTCTTCAAGAAAATTTGTGTGTATATATTTATCTTTTATTTCAATTTCATTATTATTTTTCAAATCGTGGAATTTTGCTAATCAAGTAACGAAAAATTAATCAATGCTAAATTTGTATGTCTTATTTAATAATAAATTTAAATCTTACCTAGACCTTCATCAGTATTATCATACAAAATGATCTTGTAATCAGAGACTTTAAAATTTTTAATGCCCTCACATTTATATGGCATGATATCTGTATCTAAACTAAGATTGAAAGGATCTGTACAGGTATTGACAAGCCATCCGACAAATGATTCATCTTCTTGACTATATGTTAAAAGATATTTTGATTGTGGTGAGATAGCTACTTTAGATATTGGTTTATCATTGTGTGGTAAAGTTGAAATAGAATTTTGATGTAAATCAGATACGAAATCATTGACGTTTATGCTCATGTGATTCTGAGACATGGATTGTTTTTTCTTGTTAATTGCAGAGAATTGCGAATTGTTGAGAAAAGTATAGGAAATGAATAGTGCATCATGGACGAATTTCAAATGAGTTTATATATAAGAATAAAAAAAGTTAAGACATCGGGATAATAGACCAAGCCACATTAGATTTGTTACTCCGCCTTTGTTTCATTAAATAAGCAGTCATTCAAACTAAAAGATCATCAAGATGATCAATTTTTGAAAGTGGCTCAGGTTTTCGGATGAAATTTATTCTGCGCTATGGGCGGCTCGACCCGAACTAAAACAAAAGAAAAAACTGCTCGTTTCGGCTACTTGGATGATGCTTAAAAATCCTTACCCGTTTAATAACAACTTTAACCAATTACTACTATTGTCACCCCCGGGTTTTGACTGCGCCCAAATTGGATCACTGCGGCTCTGATATGGGAGCTAAGCTGTTCCGAGACTAGTAATTTTGTGTATAGTTACTCCACAATAAAAAACATTCAGCCAATAAAAAAATGCATTAAAAATACTAAAAAATATTTATCGAGTCGACGGTCCGTTTAAGAGGCAATAGGAGCGAAGCCCTTAACTTTTTTTCTGGTTACTTTACTGGAAGGTGATTATGTAAATTGTTTTTACATTTGATTCTAGGGAAGTGCAGGATCGGTCTTGATATAGTTTGGTACTTTTATTATTTTAAATAGATTTTTATATTTTCTGAATTTAATGTATATTTTTATATTATTTCAATAAAGCCGATTGCTACCTTTACATTCATGAGGAACTATTTCTATAGGGTACTTCATTATGTAAGCTTTAATTGGGTTCGAATTATTATATAATTTTAGAAAATGAAGTAGTTTCAAAAGAATCTAGAACATTAAAGAAAAGAAGAGGTAGTAATAACATAAATTAATAAAATATTTATTTATTCATTAAATAAAAACGCAGAAATAACCTCACCAATCATTTTGATCAAATTTTATAAATTTATTAATAATTTATTTATTAATGCTCCCGAAATTCAATTTCTTCTTGAATATGATTCTAATTCGAAAGTCATGAAAGGTTATAGAAAATAAATTAATTTACAATATTTAACTTATAAATATGTTTTTTTTATTATCTGATTTACTTCATAAGCTTCTATAAGGGATGCTTAATTTGTCACTATACTTTATTCATAACTACTTAGTCTGAAAATAGAAGAAAAATTAAACAATGTATTGTTATTCGAAGACTGTTTACACAAAATTATGGTCCATTATCACAAAAACACTATATTGCTTTGCTTGGATTCTTTACACGATTTGTTTCGAAATCCCGAAGCTCAAAAACCCGATGGTACATTATCCCGACATGCTGTAATCGCAAAATGTCATAATCTTGAAATTTATAAATAAAATGAAATTAAACAAAATAAAATATATCTATTACCGAAGTATCGAATTCATCGAATTCATTCTGTTAAGTTATATTAGTATATTCGTAAGCTAATTGCTAAACAAATTAAATTTTTAAGTTTTTGACCCTGCTGTTTGTGTGAAAAGTTTAATTTACCTTTGATTAATATTGGATAAAATCTAAAAATCTAATCTTTTTTTAAATGTTAAATATAATATAATCGATTGTATAATTAGTAACTTAGCTGGTAAACGCAAATTTATTTTCTTTTATTATGGACATTATGATTGAGAAATTACATTAATTTTTCATCAAGATGAACATCGGAATTAGTTTGTATTTAAGTACAAGCCGTTCCTTTTGAAGCAAAAAAAATGATAACGAGAAGGTCCCTTGAGAACTTAACAATTGCTTCACAGCATCAGTCATTTCTTTTCTAAACAAGCAAAGGTTTTAATCCAATCTACAAAAATCCGCTTATCAATACCAAATCTGCTCATTTATTAATTTATTCGAGAGTTTTTACCATTTCCAAGTTTGTATTGCAAGTTTTTTTTTAAAACGTCTTCGATTGGAGAATATGAAATTGTCCATTATGCGCCATTTCTTCAATGTGTTAACAATATTAAAATAAAAGGTGCTGTCCTTTTAAAATTTATAATAAATGCCAAATAAAATCATGTTATTTAAGAAATATTCACGTTTCACCAGATGCTGAGGTCGTTGCCAATATAATCAAATAACTCATGTTCTTTGACTATTTCCTTAACTTGATCAAATATAAGTTTTCTGCAACAATGATCAAGTCAATATTTAAATCTAGTATAATACCGAAATTGTCAATGTTAACAAGATAGGCGCAGTATCTATCACGTTTTTATGACGCACGATACTGCGCCAAACATAATTGACGAATGGTAATCTTATCGATCACGATTCTCAACTTTCTCTAATTTCACATTTCTTTAATATATTTATTTTCATTATTTTATTATATTTCTTATATTTCTTTATTTTCTTAACTATCTATTTCATATT